CAGGAGGCGCCTGCCGCTCGCCCTCGCCGCTCGGGGCCCCGCTTTCTCCTGCGGGACAGGATCCTCGGGGGCCCCAGAAAGCCATCCGTGTTGGTTCAGGCCGCACCCCAGAGTGAACCGGCCACAGCACAAATCGCTCTGCCTAAGACCAGTTCTCCTAGCCATCCATACACTTGGCGGGCAATTTGCCTAAAAGCCTGCCTTTAGGACCTCAAGAAAAATTTAAGACCAAGTTATCAAAGGGCATTTTCTGTATAATTTTGTATTTTAATCACGATCAAATTTGCAGCATTTTACTGGTGGTAGGGCTGTTTGTATTTAAGACAGTTTTAATGCACTTACCTAAGACCCTTTGTTTAAAATACTGTTCCTAGCAATAATTATTTGTGATATCTCTATGATTTCATACGGGACTTAGGAAATTCTCCCTCCTTTTTTGCTGTTTGATTTCGATCTCGCTTTTCCTTCTCATTGTGGGTACACATAGCCCTGTATATTCTTACTGATTTGAATAAGTGATGCCAAATATTTGTTTCTATTTGATGGAGACATTTTTTTTTTTTTTACAGCAAAATGATCAAGTGAGACAGGAATCAGATTTCCTTGTATCTTATTTTTTTAAAGCTATTTTATTCATACAGGAATACAATGAGAAAACCTATTGTCAAAGTATGAGATAGTGCATAGAGAAGCATGTATTTATTGCTGGAACTAAACTCATTTTAAGCAAGGGATTTTAGATAAGCTGATACAAAAACTTTAACATATTCAAAAACAGATATAAGAGGCAAAACTATTTTTAATAAACTGGGGGGGGCAAATCTAATACATTATTATTATTAGAAAAACAAGTAAGTCATATGTACTCTTTGATAAATTGGCTTCAGATGTTCTTAAAAAAAAAGATGCAAAACAGATAAGGAGCCCAGAGTGGAAACCCCTGGAATGGAGGGGGGCAAAAGGTAGAGGAGCAGGGATTAGAACTGACTGTTTTAGGCAAAGTCTCCTCCAGACTCAGTGCCAAAGATGCCCCGGTGTGGACTTCCTTTGATCACTGCCCGATGCTCACTCTATCCTCACACCGACTGTGTAGAATTTCCAAGATGTGGGGACTTCGGCAGAGCACAGCTGTGGCTTGCCCTGGGCCCTGAACTCTCAGTGGGAGTTTTCTGTCCATACTTTTTTTTTTTTTAATCTGCCGAGCACTGAGAAACTCTAATGAATCTCCGGCCATCTGGGCTGTAGAGTATGGGTCGCATACGCACTACTGGCAGCACTTTATTTATGTCCTGCTTGGAAGCTTAGGTTTAAAATATTGCAGAGGGTGTGAGAAGCGCTTCGTTATCCTCCTGCATTCACAGGTCAAATCCTGCTCACTGGCTACCTCGGGACCCGTGCCCAGCTGTCTCATGCTGTGGGTGGTGCTGGCACTGGCCTCTCTATTCCCTCCCATTCAGCACCACCAGGCATTGAGCAACCAGGGGTCTCGTACTCACTCGCCAGCACCCTCACTATTGCACCTTGCGCCTGAACTGATGGGGAATAGGTGTGGTGGTAACTCAGCTTTTAAAGTAGTTATGAGATTGTAGTGAGTTCCGCCCGCATTGCTGAAAGGCACAGAGGGCTGGCCCCCTTTGTGCATCACTGGTAGCAGCTGGCTGCAGGTCACTCTGGTGCTTAAGAGTTGGGATTGGCCGAGTCCCCTTGGATGAGATGAGGGCTGGTCCCCAAGGTGGAAGCATACCTGGTCTCTCTGACGGTCTGATCTGGTATCCTTTCAGATCCCTTTTTTGGTGTTCATGTATTTTGTTGCTTTGAGTGGCTGGCTGCAGTGTCTCACTCAGGGGCCACTCCCTGTCCCTGTCCCCCAGTGTCAGGGCAGGGGCACGGATGGCCCTTCTGATTCCCATGTCTCCTTGGCTTTGTCACATTGGTTCCCTGCCACCCCCTTCGCCTCTTCTCTTTTTCCTCACTTGCCTTTTCTTCCTCTGCCTGTTCTCTTCTCCAGATTTGGCTAATTGCCTTGCTCATCCCTAGCCCCACTGCTCTGACGTCTAAACAGGGCAGGAAAGCAAGGCCATGCAGAGAGGCGGTGTGGTGTCCCTGTGGTGTGATCACGTCATGACCTCCAAACACACAATAGTGAACCAAGGGCAGATGTTTCCAGCGTCTGTGCAGGTGGTTTAGAATCCCCCCACTCTCCTCCCCGCCCGGCTTTTAGGGAGGGAGCCCTAAGTTTCTCTCCTGACAGATGACAACCCCCCACCCCATATCGATGTGCAGAGGAGGGAGGTTCTGGTGTCTGCTTGCACCCGGATGTTTATGAACTATAAATAGTAAATTTCAACTTGACAGGTACCTTCTCAGGGATTTATATATAAACATAGTTAGGGGCAAAGTGGAAGTATGTTTTAATACTTTTTAGTGTTTGTGTGAATTATGATTAAGCTAGACAGAGGAAATGTGTCCAGGGCCATGTCAGTGCTGCTGTTTCCCAGGGAGATGTCTGGGAATGGCCTCTTGGTCGAGACTTCCTGGTTATTGGAAACCCGGACCCTGCTGCCCCAGTGGCTCTGGGGTGCACATGGGGTCACTTCAGCGCCTCTCAGCGGCCTCTGTGGATGCGGCCCTTTGTGTGTATAAAGAGAAACTCACCCGTGGGAGCAGCGGTGGCAGTGATAACAGACGGACCGTTCATCGCTGTGACCTCTAGACCTGGCTCCTCCCCACCTGACATTGGGGTGTGTGTGAAATGACTCCCTCTCCTGTGTGCTCATGTGATTGAGTGTGCTGGCCGGCCCAGCGCCAAGCCCAGAGCGGGGAGGAGCAGGGGAAACTGGGCGCTCAGAGGCCGCACGCCCCTTCCAGGGCTTTGGCCGCACAAGGGAGACGCCCACAGAACCTTAGGGACCTTTACCTTTTTGACGTGGCTCCCGATGGGCAGCGTGCGATACCTCAGGAATATGAAGGCGGAGATATAATCCCTTCATCATCTCAACTGCAGGCCCTCCTAAGGCTCGAGGCTCATTTTGCCGAAAAGACTAAGATTTCGTGATGTCATTTGGAAGTGGGACTTGTGGCTCAGGGGGGCCGTTCCAGGCTGCCTCCGCTGGCCGTGGGTGACAGGTGTCCTGCCGTGCGGCTGAGTGGAGACAAGGCTGCTGTCTGAAACTGAATCGCATGCGGTGGAGGCAGGCCCGGCCCGCATGGATGGGAAGCTGCTGTCCCCGGGGAAGAATCCTGGGCACCGAGTTGTGAAGAAACGCCTCCCTGAGACCTAAATAAATGAGCCGCGACTAAGGAGTGGGTGTGATTGGGTCATCGCAGCCTCTGGCCGGAGCACTGTGCCTGCCCGTCCACAGGTCCACAGTCCACACTACAGGAGAGAGAGGCCCTCTCTCCAGAACCCGCTCAGCCTGCTCTGTGGGATGAGCTGCAGCCCTGCTGTGAGTCAGCTGTTCCTCCTCCCCCAGGCTCACCTGCAGACTCACGCCAGCTCATGTTTCCATCCTCATGCAGCACGGTTGTTCCCGGGAGTATTAAGATTTATCTCAAACTACTGGAAGCTCCTAGTCACAACCAGCCCTTTATATGCGAAAACGCTAGCACTTGGCCTTGTTTACAGTGTTGGGAAGGTCTGACATGCTCAGGGCCTTCGGCTCCGTGGTAGAGAACTGTTTGGATTCTGTACCTGGCCCTGGGCCTCAGTTTCCCCTGCAGCGGGCTCGCCTTAGCCGGGTCCCATCCAGCAGCTGCCGGGAGGGCCAGGGTCATCTGGGGAAGGAAGGGTGGAAGGTCAAGCTGAGTCACTCCTTATAAGACAACCAAGTCACGGTTATGACAGAAAACCATCCAGCAGACTTGTCGGCTGCCACCAAGCACTAAACACAAGAACGGCTCTTCCCAACTTGAGGTTGCTCTCTCCTCGAGGTGCACCTCCAGGCTTTTAAAACTTATTTGGGCATCTGTTCTGTATACGTGCTGAGTCAGCTGCTCACCTCGGTGCCCTTGAATTCACATGCTTCTTCATTAACATTTAAAATAAGTGGCTGAAGACCTTCCTCTGGAGGTTAGTTTTTGAAAGAAATAGGAAACCCTACAACCACCAGGATTGATGAGCTGATTTTTGAGTGACTCAGGCGAATGCCGGTGCCGCGTACAGTACACAACCTCCTCGCTCTGACCCCGCCTGAAATAAGCCGAGGTGACAGGTGTGGCCCCTGTAGTGCCATGACAGCCCTCAGCAGCAAGCTGTGCCAGGGTGGACAGTGTGTGATAAGGTGTGAGTGTGCACTCGCATGCATGCACACACACACATGCGTGAACACATGACTGAGAGGAGACCTGGGTTTGTGCTCACAAAGGTGACTGCTGCTGTGGCTTCACTGTGGCTCCTGGGGAATGTCAGGGGTGGCCTGCTTGGACGGTGTGTATTCAGGAGGACTGGACAGCCCAAGGCCACTGTGGGCACTCCGGCCAACACACGTGTAACAGCCAGTGTGTCATAACACAGGCCTTCCTTTTCAGAGGCGGTTTTGCCCAGGTGACTAGGATAGGAGCTCCTTGGCGAGGTTCCACAGCCGGGAATGGGTCTTTGACATCCTTGGCACGGAGGGACCCTGCCTCAGAGGGCTCTGGTTGGAGAGTAGCCACCGGGTGGGGGCTGACTCCCCTGAGACTTGGCACCAGGCTGACATAGAATCCACATTTTGCCCTGAAGGAGTGCTAAGAAGTTGGCCTCAGTGTTAGATGCTCTAATCAAAGGCAACATAATTTGGGACTTGAGAGAAATCGGTTCATCAACTGATACCTTTGTATTGTTTTTAAGGAAAATGTAGAAGAGAAACAAAAACGAGGCCGCCATCCCGGGTAGAGCGTGGCCTGTGTTGACCTGATGCATTAGGGAGTTTGGGGGTGGGGGCGGGGGGGTGGACACATGGAAGCACTTTAACACCAGATTGGGAGCAGAAGTTCTAGAAGCTGGTTTGGAACCACACAGCAGTGTTGAATTTGATGAAAATTATAAAGGGAAGCTGTACACCCAGAAATGTTACCAGCAAGTCTGGGAGCCTTTGGAACATCCTGAGGAATTTGAATAGTACACCCCATTCATAGGAACAGGAAAAGCCAATCTCATTGAAATTCTCTTCATTCGAATCGCCCTGCCTGGGACCTCCCTGGGGCCCGTGGATGTGTGTGAGCAGGCTGCACAGGGGCCCGGTTTCCAGTTATGTTTCATCTTGGGATAAGCTCTGTTTGCTCGATGTAAAGCTATCTTCGTTGTCATTTCTAAAAATCCGGCAGGTTTCTGGATATTGTAAAAAAATGTTGAGTCTAGATGTGATTCTGTAAATTTCATAGTGTTTTATTTTGAAGTGAGAGTTTTTGTTTGTTTATAAGAGGTATTTTCCTATTTAGACCTCAGGGCTATTTTGGAACCCCCAAATAAATGTGACCCCAGCAGCTTCGGTTTTGATATCCAAAAGGTTAATCATCTTTAAGTTAAATATGATATATTATTCAGCAGAAAGAATGTACTTTTCCTTTTTAACTTCTAAATTCTGTACTTAATGTTTTAAAAGCGTAGGGAAAAAATGTGATAATGTAAAAATGTGGGGAAATTGTGGTTATAGAATTAAAAATCACCCGTGAAATAAACATTCTTATGGTACCAGAGTGTGATATTTGAATAAAACTAAGTGTGTATAAATTAGAAAATGAAATGATGAAATTTACCAGTATTTTATAAAAATATATTTTTACGAGAGGCCCGGTGCATGAAATTCATGTGGTGGTGGTGGTGGTGGGGGGGGATGTTCCTCAGCTCAGCCTGCACCCTCTCCAATCTGGACCCCTTGGGGAATGTCTGACTGCCAGTTTAGGCCCGATCTCTAAACTGCAACATCCCTCTCACAATCCTGGACCGCTGGCTCCTAATCGCTCACCTGCCTGCCTGTCTGGTCGCTCCTTACTGCCT